CTATGTGTTAGAAGAAAACAAATATACACTCACTTGATAAGAAGATGATCGAACAGCACTACGACTCTTAAAATAATAATCTTCGATAAAACCGGGACGTTTTCTCCAAAACCGGGCTTTACGCGGGCAGAGTTTCGGCTCGGAAACTTTACTTCTCGGGATCCTCGGGGCTCGGGACTTGCTTCGGGTCTCGGGAATGATACCGGGGCTTCGGGGGTATACCTTGCACGTAAAATCGAGTTCTAAAGGGAGAGAGAGAAAGAAATTTGCGCAAAAAAGATCTGCAGCCCTCGCATGCCTTTTATCGGGGCTGAATCTCACGTACGTTGGGCGTACGAAGCTCTACGCAGGGCTTAGTTCGGATCAGGCTTCCACGTGGCGAACTTCGGGTGGGGCGACGTGGTCGCTTCTGGGCCAAGGAAAGTAATTGTACGCTACGCGTAGCTATCTCGTACGCAGGGCGTACCTCGGTGTCAACATGTATGCGGGTGGTACTATCGGTACGCTGGCCGTACCTTTCGGATCAGATCGGACTCGTCAGCTCTTCGGATATTATCCAAATAAATAATTAAATTTATATATTTTAATTATTTAAAAACTTCAGAAAATCATATCTTGCTCATACGAGTTCTGTTTTCGACGTTCTTTATATCCACGCGTAGTGAGACTATTAACTACCACTTTTCATTTAGACTTCGTCGGCTAATTTTGACTTTATTTTTATTATATTATTTTTAGTAGGCCGGGATAGGAAAACTCCGTTATAAAATCATAACTTATTCATCCGACGTCCGTTTTCGTCTGTCTTTTCACCTTTGGACTACTAGCGACACAATTAAGCACAAAACACATAATACCTAAATAATACATCTTTTTATTTCAAGAGGTTACAAAGGTTAACCTAGACTATTACATCATCATTAATGTCTAGCCTAAAAACACGGGCGTTACAGTGGAAATCAACCATAAACAACACATATCTTCGAACTTTCATCACTCCATCAAATACCATAATACAAAGGGAGAAGAAAGGAAGCCTTGACAGCAAAATTTCAACAGCAAGTAGGGAAAAACGAATGAAAGAGACAACAGGAAAAGAAAAAAAAAAGACGAAAGAAGCCTGAACGAACCTCTGTGGATGGTCTCCGATTCAGCTGTAGGCGGTGACGATCTCCGGCCGGTGGGGAGGAGATGGCTAACGGCAGTGGCTTCACAAAGGACGACAACAACAATCTAGGGCACAACCTCGTCTGATCGAAGATCGGTGGTGGAGTGAGGCAGGGGGTCGAGGGTTGAGGCGCTATGCAGATGTATCAGATGAGCGAGTAGGGAATAGAAAATATGGGGCGTTTTTTTAGGTCAAAAGCCCGCAGACGTGAGAAGTGGGTAGTCCATGTCTGTGTGGTGAAGACCTCGCGCAGACATTTTTAGATCTTAGCCTGTCGGAAAAACAAACGCTCTGCGAGGATAAAAGTATGCGCGTTGTCTGCGGGGCGCAGACAAAAGTGGTCAAGAAGAGCTTTTAAAAAAACAAACACCACTTAATTCTCCCCTAAACTCCATATATATCTACTTCTCTGTTGGTTTTATTAACTTTATAGTCTATAAATAATATGAGTTTTTCTAACATGAGCCTTAAAATACATGTAAAAAAGTATGATTTATGGAAAATATTACCATAATTAAATATGACATTCATTAATTATAAGTAATATTTTTCATAATTAATAGATTTCACATTTTAAAATAAGAAATATTTTATATTATTAATACACTTCATATTTAATTATGATAATATTTCTTATAAATAATATTTTGTATGTTAAAAAATCTCATTATAAATAAATTAGATTGTTGTCAAATAAGTTTTATTATTCATATTTCAATTTAATATTTATATTGCAAGTCAGTAAGTATATTAAATATTATTTAGATATTATAACTAAAAACTAAACGTTTTGTTTTGCATCTTATATTTATATTAATTAAAATATTTTGTGTATCTATATTATTATCGTTATTATAATAACAACGTGACAAAAGAATAAAAAACATGAGAAAGGAATAATGATTGACGAGGTTGGTACTATTTTGTCCTTATCTAATAAATAGAGGTGGAAGATTATTAGGCTATCCCTATTACCCATTAGGCTGGAGGGGGGAGTGGTGCCACCGAAACCTCACTCCCTCCCCCGCCACATAAGCGTAATGTCAAATTATACGACACAAGTCTGGTTTCTTGTCACACCAAGGGGTGGTGCCACACTTTTATTTTTTATTTTTTTTTTGTTATTTTGTTAACTATTTTAATTTAATAAAACTTATTTATTTAATAAAAAAAAACATAATTTAAAAAAGATAATATTTCATTAATTAAAAATACAAATACCATACATTACTTAACTTTAAAAAAACCTAAAATTTTAGAAAAACAAAGTAGAAACATAAAACCTACAACTTAAAAAAAAAACACACACACACACACACGAAACGATTAAAAATTTGAAAAAAAAACTAGAAATTAGCCACGATTGATGTAACGATTTTTCACTTCCTCCTTCATCGCCAAAACCACTTCAAGCTCGGCCCCGATCATATTCGACGTGTCCATCGCTAGTATTCGCATGTCGCTCTCCCTTTGTTTCCGAAGCTCTCTTTCAGAAGCAATTTTCAAAATCTTGTCCATTCTGTCTTTTATACTCTTCATGTCGGATCCCATTTCTTTCAAATCATCTGAATCCGACGCTTTGCATTTGCCTTTGTTTTTTGATTTGTCTCTTCCCATTGGTCGGGAAGGTGGTGAAACTGGAACAGGTTCATCTTCGTTCAGATCAAATTGAACACGAGCATCTGATGTAGTGTGGTCGGACTCAGATGTTCTGCTGCGTTTTGACCCACTGTCGATATGCTCGTCTGATGTTTTGCTACTCAGCCATTTCCTGTTATCTTTCAAAAAATTCCAAACTTCAAGAAACTTGAAAGCCTTCAGATTTTCTTTTTGATACACTTTCAATGCTTTCTTCAAAATCACTTCATCGCTTTTATCACTTTTCCATTGACGTTTCATGTTGTTCCACAAGTCATTAAACAACATGATTTCCTTGTTCATCTTCCCCCATTTGGAGTACACTTGATGTTTTGAACGGTATTCTCCACGGTTCATTCCTTTATGGAACCTGTGTAAAACGCGAATCCAAAAGCGGTCATGCTTTTGGTCTTTTCCAACCGTCGCATCTTCTGAAATATCGATCCAAGATTGTGCCAACACTAACGCTTCCAAAGGTTCCCAACATCTAGCATTCGCCTTCTCTTTTCTTTTAGTTGCTGCTCGAGTGGGCTGAGTCTCTGTAACGAATTCCAGTTCAGAATTAGAAACGACCGTTTCTGGTTGTGTTTGTGTTTGTTGAACAAACTCGGGTTGAGATAAAAAATCAAATGGATTAAAATTCGGGTCGGGTTGTGGTAGTGGTGGTGTTTGTGGTTGTGGTTGCGCTGGTCGTTGTGGAAAATATGGAAACATACCGCCGTAGTGGTAATACGGAGGTGAGAAAATCGGTTGATCAAATGAAGGTAGTGGGGTGTTGGTATTTCTAACTGGTGTTTTTTCTTTGCTGGGTCGTTCGGAAGATGACATTTTTCAAAAAAAAATAGAGAAAAGGAGTAGAGATATGATAAAAGGTTGTGTAAAAATGTTGTGTAGAATGGTAATATATATATATATATATATATATATATATATATATATATTATATATATATATATATATATAGGTTTTTGAAAAAAAAAAATTTAACCACAAAGATCATTCAACGGTCAAAAGCAGTCAAGACCGCACCAGACCGCGGTCTGGGGCGGTGTTCCTGGTCTACGTGGCACAAAGTGCGGTCTGGGACCACACCCACACCCTTCAGCCTTAGCATGAGAAAGGAATAGTGATTGACGATTTGACCGGGTTGGTAATATTTTGTCTCGTCTAATAGCGTGAGAAAGGAATAGTACTGATTGACGATTTGACCGGGTTGGTAATATTTTGTCTCGTCTAATAAATAGAGGTGGAAGATTATCAAGCTTTCCAATCCAACACAATTTTTTTTATAAATAACTAATTTTTCTTTTTTCTATCTGTATAACCCAATCCAATTTAATTATTTACTCATTACCAATCTAATTCAATTTATTTTATATTAAGATTTTATACTTATAAAACTATATCAATATTGGTCTTATTTTGTAGAGAAAAATAAATCAAGTATTTTGATATATTTTATTTCATTTTTTACTACATGATATATTTTATTTCATTTTTTATTACAGATAAAGTCTACTTATTAACAAAAGTTAGTTTTTGATATAAAAACTAATGGATTCTCTTTAACAAAGTTTGAAACGTGGGAAATCTTTATATACAAGCTATAGTGAGCTGAGGGCATGGTCACGACTTAGATCACCAAAGATTGTCTAATTTTCATTTTTTTTATTATTTTTTTTTCTACGACCCGATGACAAGAAGCTCTAATGGGGGTAGTCTTAGAAGTATCATTTAAGGAAAAATGAAGGTGAATCTAAGTTCCTATTTTGCTAGAAATAAAATTGAAATAATATAAAATGACATAATTAGCAATCAATTTATTTTCAAAACCTCAACAAACATAAGAAAGTGTTGTAATTGGATTTTAATTCTTTCTAATTTCAATGGATTCCAACGAATCAGACGACACCTTATTGTATTGCTGAAAAAGTTATTGTATTTTCTGTGACAAAAAAGTAATTTGTTGTTCTAAAATTAAAAAGTATCTGCATAGAGGTGTTGGTGGTGCTGCGATGTGGTGCAGTTTGTAGTCAAAACCATAAAACGAACCGCATATGCGGTTTGAGATTTTCAGAAACCACAACACGAAACTTCTAAAATCTAAACCGAAATATGCAGTGTGTTGTTATACGGGCAGTTTGAGGCTTTAACTCAAGCAATATACTATATATACCACCAAGCAAACGTGAGTCCTCCCTTCAAAAAGAGTTTTTTTAAAGATTTTTATCATCCCGCGATATATTATACCACCAAGCCATTCTTTTGTACTCTCATCTTTTGCAATGAGTTCAATTTGCATTTCCTGCATGAGTCTTCCTTTTAGTCCGACTTCTCATCATAGAAGGATAAGAAATTATATGGGAGGATTTCAAAAACAATATTCTACAACACAACCCACAACCATGGCTGTAACTACTAATGCACCCACTGTTAGACGATCCGCAAACTACCCCCCTTCGCTATGGTCTTATGAGTATCTCCAGTCACTGACTAACAACTATGTGGCAAGTTATTCTTTCGTCTGTATATATATATATATATATATTATATATATATATATATATATATATATATATATATATATATATATATCTTACAAGCTAATCACATCCATGTGCCAATGATTCTATTGACAATTACTTGCAATTCTTTTTGTTCGTATATATAGGGTGAAGAATATGAGACAAGGTCTCTTAGTTTGAAGGAAGAGGTGAAGATGATGATTTCTGAAGATGCTGCAGTGCAGGACCCTTTGAGTACACTTAAATTCATTGATGATCTGCAGAGGCTTGGAGTATCTTATCACTTTGAGTATAAAATCAGTAGTGTTTTGAAGATGCTATACCATTGCTACTTTGACTCTCAAGAGAAGTGGAACAAATCTGATTTGAACCTTAAAGCCCTTGGCTTTAGACTATTGAGACAACACGGCTATCTTATCCCTCAAGGTACTTGACTCCTTGTTATTTGTAACGTACATCCTTTCTCACTTTTTGTTTTTCGTAAACTTCCGATATAAGGCTGGAGGAAGTGGTGCCACCGAAACCGCACTCCCTCCCCGCCACATAAACGTCATGTCATTTTTTACCACTCAAGTGTGGTTTCTTGCCACATCAAGGGAGTGGTGCCACACATTTATTTTTTTTTTGTTTTTTGTTTTTTTTAACTATTTTAATTTAATAAAACTTCTTTTTTTTTAACTATTTTAATTTAATAAAACTTCTATTTTAATAAAAAAGCATAATTTTTCATTACTTGAAAATTAAAAAAAAACATTACATTGCATTACCAAAAAAAAAAAAACACGAAAACCACACACATGACATTTAAATAATCCTAGAAACTTAAAAAACACAAATAAAATAACTAAAACAAACTACATAAAATCGTTCTCCAAGAACTCGTCTTCGGGGTCATCCGGTGGATCCAAATTAAGGTTAATGTTTTGAACCCCGTAAATGTGTTCCACCAAGTCATTGCGAATATTGTGAAATGTTTCAGTGCAACGTATCTCTGCTCTCCTGTTTATATACTCTTCGCCATCAATTTCTATTGGTTGTGTCTCTGGTATGGTTTCTTCCTCGTCAAACGCACATATCGCTCTTTCTTCGTCTTCAATAATCATGTTATGCAATATAAGACATGTATACATGAAGAAGATGACATTTTTGAGAGAGTGGTGATTTTTTTTTTAAATTTTTTTGAGAGAGAGAAGAGATTGTTTTGTGAAAAACAAATGAAGTTGATATATATATATATATATATATATATATATATATATATATATATATATATATATATATATATATAAAAGAAAGAAAAAGCAAAAAAAAAAATTAATTACCCAACAACCCAACCCATTCAACGGTCAATACATCATCCACCAATCACCAAACACGGCACTAAAGGACCGCACTGCGGCCAAGACCGCACCAGACCGCGGCCTGGGGGCGGTGTTCGCGGTTGACGTGGCACAAACCGCGGTCCCAGACCGCGCCCACACCCTTCAGCCTAAATAAGAAAGCATAATAAAGCAACAACCATGAGATAGATCCTTATATATAATTGTTGGTTTTATTTGTGAAGAAATATTTGAGGACATTAGGGATGAGACCGGAAATATCAAGGCCCAGTTACGAGAGGACATTGTCGGAATGCTTAACTTGTATGAGGCTTCCTTTCTTGCTGTCGAGGATGAAAGTATATTGGATGAAGCCAGAGAGCTTACTCGCCAATGCCTGAAAGAGATGCTAGAGAAGAATAGCATAGGTAACGATCAATGTCTGGCGATGTTAATAAGCCACGCCTTGGAGCTTCCATTGCTTTGGAGGCCTCAAAGATTTGAGGCAATATGGTTTATAGAAGCATACAAGAGGAGAAGCGACAAGAATTCGTTGTTGTTAGAGCTTGCTGAATTGGATTTCAACGTGTTGCAAGGGATACACCAAGAAGAGCTAAAGTACTCATCAAGGTGTATTAATCTTTATGTATATATTATGTGTTTATCGCCTATTACTTGTTCTGTGTTGCTTAAGTCAAACTGTTGGTATAGGTGGTGGAAAAATCTAGGTTGGGACAAGAAGTTCAGCTTTGCTCGAGACAGGTTGGTGGAGAGTTTTATGTGGGCTGTTGGTGCAAGTTACGAACCACCACATGGTGTTCTAAGGAGAAACATCACAAAGCTTATTTCTCTAGTAAATGTCATAGACGATGTTTATGATGTGTATGGTACTTTGGATGAACTTAAACAGTTCTCGAGCGCTGTGAAAAGGTTCGGTGCTAATATATAGTGAATTGAATATATAGGACTAATACTAGTAAATACAGTCGTCGATCTTTGCTTTTTCAAAAAAAGATATAGTCTTCTATTTTTTTTCACTATATATATTTTTAATATATATTTACATGACCGGACATTTAGATGGGACATCAATGCCATCGAAGAACTTCCTGATTACATGAAGATATGTTTCCTTGGATTCTACAATACCATCAATGAAATGGCATACAGCACCCTGATCAACCAGGAACTCCTTGTTATACCGATTGTGAAAAAAGCAGTCAGCTATCTTTCTTCATTTCAGCAATTGGTTTTTCCAAACTTATATCAAGATTTTCGCTGGATAATGTTGAACTTTGACATTGTAGTGGGCAGATTACTGTGATGCGAACAACGTGGAGGCAGAATGGTTCAACAGTGGATATATCCCAACACTTGAAGAGTACCTGAAAAACTCTTGTATTACCATATCACTTCCTGTAATACTTTCAAATATTTACTTCTTCACTTCTAGCGATATTAGCGGAGAAGCCATGCAGAACGTAGTGCACTGCTCATCAATGATTCTACGTCTTGCTGATGACTTGGGAACATCATCGGTAATGAAAAATTATCTTCAGGATCTCTCATGTGTTTGACCATCTTAGGAAGTAATATATATATATAGATACGAATTTAACTACAATTATTACATTTTTCTTTGTTTTAATTAGGCCGAGCGTGAAAGAGGTGATATTCCAAAATCAATCCAGTGCTACATGCATGAAACCGGTGCTACTGAAGAGAATGCTAGGGAATATATAAAGAAGTTAATCATGCAGACATGGAAGAAACTAAACAAAGAAAGAATGTCTGTTAAATATCCCAAATCTCGAATTTTCATAGAATGTGCAACAAACCTTGGTAGGATGGGCCAATTTACATACCAGCATGCGTCGGATGCATTTGGTTCGCCAGATGATTGGTATAAATCTCATGAAATATCTTTACTTTTTGATCCTAAATCCCAGAGGATTATTAGATAACCTTCTGATCAAGGTGGCAGGTGACCCTAATGAATATGATTATATGACGCGGTTCCATTTTCTCTTTCTGGCTAATATAATTTATAAAGCCATATTTTTCATCTTTGTGAGTCTTCTATTTTTATTTATCAATTTTATCATGTTATATTTGCTTTTCTGTAATTTTCTCATAAAATTTTTTTTTTTTCTTTCTTTTCCTTTTTCTTGTTTGTGTACTTTTTAAGACATCCACAACATATTAAACTTTAGAAAATTTAAGATCCTCATACAAGCATTTTACTTTTCATAAAACTTTATCATTTTAATTTCTATATATAATATACTGAACCATATAAAATTCAATGTACTTATCATATATATATATATATATATATATATATATATATATATATATATATATATATATATATATATATTAAAATTGTTTTTTCCTATTTAAAAGTTCAATAGCCAATAAACCGATCAGGCCATCAAATGTCAACTCCATTTCCACTATTAATTGTTGGGTTTAGTCTAACTTAGATTGAGAAAACTCGAAGACGGTAAATTGGAACCGCACTAGATGGTGACCTCCATCCACAAAAACCTTTATATAAATTACCATTATTTGATGTAATAACCTTTATCCAAACTAACTCATGGCTGACACTATAAATAATATTGACGATTGTGTAAGCTTGTGATATAAACTTTCCAATAAGTTTTGCCCCCATAAATTTCAAGTATAAAATTATACACGTTAATTGGTTTTTGGATTAATTACTCACTTTTTAAGTCATATGTCAAATTGCACGGTTTTAATGTTGACGTGTTTTTTATATTTACTTTAGGAAGTCGGTTTTAGGAAAAAGAAGCTATTTCGGTTAAATCCGTAAGATTATATATTGGAGATATTAAAAATTATATTATAGTATATGAAAATTAAACAATGTTTAGACTGAAAAAATTTATTCTTATAAAAGATTAAAATTCACTAATGCACCCAACACTTGCAAGGTTAGATGAGCCCTTTAAATATCCGTTAGTTTTTCCAGATTCTAAAGTTAGACCAGAAAACATATATACAAGAAGTTGACATTTATTGTAAGCAATAAATCTACTCTTACCTTTGGGCACAAGTGAAAGCAGGATAACATGGGAAAGGAGGGACAGAAAAGGAAAACTATGGAAACATATTGAATACTTGATCTCCAAGGTTTTATTAAGAAACCAAAGGGAACTATTGAATAAAAACACCATCTGTTAGGGCATCCACATTAATGGATTGACACATCATCATTTTACTTGCTAAACAACTCCACATTAATCTTCCTGCAATGCATTGAACTCAAAATAGAATTCAATGGAATATATATTTAATAGTTAAAAGGTTTCCTTTTTCTCATTGAAGAGTTTAATAGTCATTAAACTTCATAACCATTGAATGCCAACATGACATCTCACAATGGTAGAGTTTACTCCATTGAATGTCAATTAGGCATGTCACCTCATTCAACTCTCTCATTGAACTATGCATTGTGGATGCTCTTAAAGCATATTTATACTAAAAAGATAATTGGAACCTAATCTAACTCAAATACCAAAAATAAGGAAATTTCCCTTATATGACTTTTTACCCTTTATTCTTAATTACTCCAACATTTTTACCTTTAATTCAGAATCTACTATATATGTTATTCACCCCCACCAGGTGTTCCATCCTTATGAACTTCAGTCTTGCCAACGACTTTGTAAAAGATATATTTCGTTTGCTCATTGTTGCAAACATGTTTCACTATAATGTCCCCTTTCTCAAAATACTCTCTAATGAATTGAAACCTTGTATTTATATGGTTATTTCTATCATGGAAGATCGGGCTTTTCACAAGTTCTACAGTTGACTTGCTTTTTTAACAGCAAGACGAATATAAAAAAAAAAGGCAACTAGTGAGAAGCTAGTTGAAAGTTACAAGGCTTCCATGATAGGGTCATTATACTAATTTTCCCAAACTAATCTAGATCTTGTTTTTGATATACATTTAAACCAAGTAAAAGAACAAAGTTTAATATCCATAACGATGGAGTTAACACAATTAATGCCTTTTGCCCTCAGACACTAGGTGATTCCTGCTTTTCCAAACATATTGTTAGAAGTACCATACAACCACTCCTCTAAAAAGGTGATGTTTGTAGGGTTCCACTTCCACCAATGGTGCAATCTCACCCTAACCTACATAGTTGTTGAACAATAATAAAGCAAATGCTAATTTGTTTCATCAGCAAGACAAAGAGTAACATGTTTAATAATCTTACCTATTGAGTCACCTAGCAAGAGAAGAATCCAAATTGTTTGGTGTGTAGTTGATGTGGCAACTATAAACTAGACTTCACATGAAGAGAGTTCCACACACATTTGTTTATGTGATGACATCCCTTATATACTTTGTTGCCGACTACATATCCGGCAATATCATTATCGAAGTAACATATTACCTCAACCTCTTGATTACTTCATGTATATACTAGATCATAATCAATGGTCCTTTTTACATACCTTAAATTTTGTTTCCTTTTTGTTGGTGTTGGACTGTGGGTCTTTCCATGAAACGACTCACCACTCGAACATCATGTGAAATGTCAGTTCGAGTGTGAAATTAACCCACCCATACCATTTTTAAATTCTTTAGGATCCATCGAAGCTCCTTCCTTGTCTTTTTTTTAGCTCAGCCTTCGGTTCTATTGGATGTTAGGATGGGTTGAAATCAATCATGCCCGTCTCTTTTAGCAAATTCTTCGGGTAGGCAGTTTGCTTCAAGCTAATACCATCCTCATGTTGACCTGTTCAATACCCAAGTAAAATGACAACAATAAGCAAACATCACTCATCTTGAACTCTTTCCTCATTTGTTGTTCAAATACTTTTACTTCATGTTCTCAATTATCAGTTACAATCAAATCATCCATGTAGATCCTAATTCTCAAACTTTTCCCTTTGACCCTTCTAATATACACCACATACACTTGAGGGCACCTAATGGATTTAGACCTTTTAAGAACTTATCTAATTGGGAATTCCAAGCTCTTGGAGCTTGTCAAATCCCATAGTATGTAAAACTTAAATCAAAATGTCGACAAAATACAATTTTTTATAAGGGATAATTACATAAAATACCATATATATATATATATATATATATATATATATATATATATATATATATATTTATAGATTTTCTCATATTAAACTCCACTTTGTTTCTAAAAGATCACTTAAAATTTTCCATTTTTTCATTTGGCATTTTTAGCAAGTTTTTCGTTAATTTTTCGGTTTTATACAATGATGAAAGGGTTTTTCAAAAAATAAAATAAAATAAAATAAATGTTTAATCCGAAATCATGGAAAATGAAAGGGCCAAATCGAAAAAATAGAAACCTAAACAGGCCAATTAAAAAACAATTATAAGAGTTAAATCGAAAAATTAAAAAATATATAAAGGCATTTTTATAAATACAAAAAATTTGAGTTCTAAATCGAAAATAAACATTAAAAATATTATAGGAGTGTCCCGGAAGGTGGTGTGTACACCCACTATTCCATTTTCAGTCGGCAACATCCTATAGGGTAGTTGGATGCCCAACATGTTGAATTTATATTTGTTTTTGTTTTAAAGTTTTTACCATATGCTTTGGTGTTTTATTGTAACGTGTAAGTATGTTTTAATCATAACTAGCGGAAGCAAACGCACGCTGGTTTGAATGAGTTTCGACCAAATATGGCAATGAACGTTTGAAATTTGTAAATTATGGAATGATAATAGTGGAAACATAGATTTTCATAACACTGTGCAGTTCAGATTTTACATCGATTTTGGAAACAAAAGCTGACTTTGAACTGAAGCTTCCATATAAAAAAATGTCAACTAACAATTGGATATCATATTATCATACACACACCCAAAACTCAAAGCTTCATACCTTCTCTCATACCTTTTCTATGACCACTTTGTAATTTGAACACTGCGCAGGGAACAATTATCATAAGGTACACGGATACAAAGTGAAACTAAAGTTCACCAAAGTCAAGGTGGCATAATGGTAATATCTTTAATAGGTTAACTGACCAAATGAATAATCACAGTGTTAAAACCATCGCCGAGAATCTCCTTTAATATTAAGTAATCTCTTTCAATAGGAGCATATTGACAAAGCTTTAGTAATAGTTAGTTGCTGACTAAAACAATGGGCATAAGATTTAACTTTGTAAGGATAGGAAATATATACCATACCTAATAGACTTTGAACCTTTGACATAATCTTTAATAACTTAATCACAAATAAATTGAACCGTTGAGTTTAATCTTTAATTCATCGTCTTGTGTGCCCTTTTTTTCAATTTACAATCTTGTCCGTCCAAAGACATGCCATGGAATTTGAAAATTACTTAATCTAAAATCAGAAACTTTGAGATCTCTATGAAAAATACCACGACTATGGCGGTATTCTACAACGTTAATGACTTGCTGAAATTACTTTCTTGCTTCATCTTCTTTAAGTCTACCTTTGGTTGCCTGAATTTTATAAGGACAATCTTTTTATTATTATTATACCAATTAGGGGCTTCGCCCCTAAATGATAGTGTACTTTAAAAACTTGATCAAACTTAAACAAGTATGCACACCACACCTCCCTTACTTGTTTAATATTTATCAAGATTATTTTTGGTCAACAAATTAATCGTATTACACTTAAATAACATTGATGATAACAAATCACCAACAAACCTCCCCCATTTAAGTGTAATCTTGATTAACTTAAAACAAAACATAACAACAAAAAACTGATGCATAAATGAAATGTCATGACGATTGAATTTCACATTAGTATATTATTCATTCCTAATATTAGAATATCAGGGTGTCACTAAAGATTGAAGCCTTTCTATTAATAGTAAATACATTAAGATAATACACACAACATTTTACATTCTCACAAGTTTTAACTTGACACTATAATTTACTAGCTTGTGTCCCATGCTTCAATATGTAGTGGTGTTGATTATGATGGCATGTGCGGAATTAGAAAAGATCTAGTGAATCATCATGTAAACTCAAGAACACATGGAGTAAATAAATCTTGTTTAAGCTCATATTAGATCTAGAAAGGATATA